AGTCAGAACTCACTAAAAATCCAATTTAATCAGAATTGATTTCAAAGAAAGTTATGCCCTATGATGTATTCTTAGGATTGCAGCATTTCCTCCCAATATATCAAGGTGCTAAGCAAGTTTCTCTCCACTACTCCCATTTATCATCACAACAACCCTGTCAGCCTAACCTACCTGAGTGTGAGGATAAAAGTGAGAGAGAAGAACTACATATGCTGCCTTGAACTCCTTGGAGGAAAGCTAGGGTACAAGTGTTGTCAGTAACTAAAATTTAACATGTAGTGCTTAAAATGCATGTCTTCTTATGGTTAAACATATACCTGCATCAGATTACTTGTGGCTTCTATGGTTATTGGGTGAAGTTATTGTTCTTGACGTAGCAGTTTTAATCCACATGTAACATTCACATTAATGTAGTCCACTAGAATGCAAGAAACCTTGAGTTGCATAGTTCTTACTGAAATCAAAGATTAACTGTTCACGCAGATTTCACATGTGACTCAGCCTTTGGGTTTATGTTCTGTGTTTCCCATGTGCTGTACACCTAAACTGTAATAAAGTGAAATGGTTGTCTAAAAATAAAAACAAACTTATTATAGTCGTATAATATTCCATATAATGTAAAGCCTCGAACAAAAATATTTTGCTGCTGCTGTTACCAGGTTATTGGTGGCAGGCAGTGGAAGTGTAACTGTGGTAACAACAGAGACCTTATTTTCCCGAGTAAGAAACATAATGAAATATTGTTGCTTATAGCCTATTTAAGTGGAGCAATCCCATACCAATTAATATGTTTATATTAGGGCATTGGTATGTGTTCTTCTGGAATCCTAAAATGTTCTTCAGGAAATGCTCAATACATCAAGGTAACAATTATTGTAAAGTTAATTTAAAATATGAATAGGCCGTGAATACTTCACACAGTAAAGTTCACCAGTAGCAAAATCTGCACTTAACATTGCAGTGACCCTGTAAATCTTTATAAACAGGAGGTAGCCAGCGAAACCATGTAGCGCCAAAGTCAGCCATTTGTGGCACAGATTCTTTTAAAATGACAATGGGTGACAAACAGTATGGCAATTCCAAGCTGCCTCTGGAATCCTAGATAAATTCTGCCCACAGCAATGTGTTTACTACCTATCTTGTTGACAAAATAATTCCTATTCAGTATGTCTTCAGGATCACTAGCCTGACTGCAAAATCTGAACTTAGGATACATAAGGTCAGCCTTGTTGTTCTATTTTTATGGATCATTTTCAATTAGTATCATTCACTGATTGTGTCCTTGGGGGAATGCAGCTACCAACTGCAAATTAAACCTCTGTCGCTCCTATGCAGTTAAGGCTAGAAGGAGGGAAAAGTAAGCTTTGCTAGAGAGGGGTATACTTTCCATTATTTTGTCACTAATATTTTGAAGAGGGACTACAGCTGCAATCAATGAAGTTGAAATTAAAAGCTTCAATTTCCAATGCTTGCTTCTGGTTAACGTCATACTAAAAGTGAACAACACTACCCCAGTATACCCACTAAAACCAAAGCCATAGTTAGTTTTTCTTGTTGGGAAAGGGAATGCCATCTGAGCACTACCTCACATAGGCAGACACATTCATAGTTCCCAGGTAAGAAAAAGGCAGGCAGCCCAACCAAGTTCCAACTGAAGTTGGCAAAGCACACAGCTCATTTATTACATTGTGACTGGTTCCACGACTGAAAGCAGCACAAGATACTGCTTTATGTTTGCATTAGGATAGCGATGCCCCTGCCAACGTGTTGAAATGTGGGTATGTTGTAGTGATAGGCAAAACAGCATGGGGAAGCTACTGTCGGAAAAAGAAAGTAAACAGCCCTGTTGTGGGTCTTTCCGAGTTCAGCCCTTATTCTGAAGATCTTTTATCTCTAAGTATTTTGGACCACACCCACTGAGAATACTGCTGGATCCTAAGGTTTGGGCGCCATTGATAAGGTCACATTCATAAGTTCATTCTTTAACAAAATACGAGTCAACTATAGATGAGGCAGTAGGCTGGTTATGCAGGGCATACTACTACCAATGAAAATGGTTGGGAGAATCAAGAAGAACATCTGCATCTGCAGTTACCTCACCTTGCCTTACTGATAAGGTCGCCTCTGCCTTTAGTACACATGCCGGCAGGATACCTATGCACTAGTTAATTTAATCAATATGATTTTAAGGCCAAACGTTGAACTAGGTTCCACAGAATTAATATTTTCTACAATTATCACCAAGAACATTCCAGCTGTCCAATATTGTAATAAATAATATACAGTGGAATCTGCAAATGAAAGGCTGGCTTATTTCTTTCAGGAAGCAGGCTAAAATTAAAATGTCCCAATACGGAGGAAATCTTGTGCATATTCAGCAGTTGGTAACAACTTTAAATTGTTGTTACCAGAAATAAGCCTAACTTTACTGTGCTTATATTAGAACAGGATGTTTAAACCTGCTGCTGTAAAACACCAGTCAGCAGTCTTGATCAGAAACAGTGGTAGGCTGATCAGAGAAGAGATAATAATTCTTTGTAACAAAATCCTTTACTATGCTGAAGATCAGTGTAAGTAAAAATGGACTGTAGGAAACTATTGCTTTTTGAAGTGAATGCCATGTTTTGCAAATGGTTCTATAAACAATATTGTCCACCAAAGTCCAGCCTCCTTTCAAAAGATAGAATATCGCCCATACAGGAGGCAGAGAGACAAGTTTATAAATTACACATAGTACTTTACACCTGATCCGCTTCAAGAGATGCAGGCTTTTTAAAATCAGCAGTGTCTTTTCGCCAGTGTTATTTTTATAGGAAAAGAGATGCTGGAGTTTACCAGGAACTTCTCCCTTGTTCTCTTAGAATGGCAATGGTGCCCACCTGAAAGGTGCCAGAGCTGAGCTCTGGCTGAATAAAAAGCCCTGCTTCTCGCTAATAAGTGTATTGAGTCTTCCCTCAAAAAATGAAGCTGATCACAAGCAGAAGGCTACCTTATTACTTTGCCTGATGTTTAATATCAACAAGCAGTCAGCCTAATTAAACATGGTAAAAGGGTATGTGTGGACGGCACTGTGGTCTAAACCAGAGCCTAGAGTGTCGAGAGCCTGCCACACTAGAGCTTGCCGATCAGAAGGTTGGCGGTTTGAATCCCTGCAACGGGGTGAGCTCCTGTGGTTCGGTCCCAGCTCCTGCCCACCTAGCAGTTCGAAAGCATGTCAAAGTGCAAGTACGTAGATAAATAGGTACCACTCCGGCGGGAAGGTAAATGGCATTTCCGTGCGCTGCTCTGGTTCGCCAGAAGCGGCTTAGTCATACTGGCCACATGACCCGGAAGCTGTCTGTGGACAAACACTGGCTCCCTCGGCCTACAGAGCGAGATGAGCGTGCAACCCCAGGGTCGTCCGCGACTGGACCTAATGATAAGGGGTACCTTTACCTATTACCTATGGTCTTATTAAACCAGTGGTTTTTGAAGGGTGTGAAGTACCACACTAGTGTGGCAGGAGAGGATGTAGTGAGAAGAATGGACAATCAATTAAACATTTGAATATTTCAATGTTGTGTAGTATAGTATAGTATCAAAATATTTTATTTGCAGAATATGGATAGCTTTCCAAAATGACACCAAATACCTTTAAGAGATACTGAGGACAATCCTAGTTGTGTTTCCCAATGCATTCCATATCAATAAAATTTTTGGTGTGGTGCGAGCAATTTTTTATTCTGGAACTATGGCCCGGGGGGGGGGGGAGAACCATTGCATTAAACTGTCATAAATAAAAGTTGGTGGAAAGGGAGCAGAATATACCAACATTAGGACCACAGGGTTGCATCCAATTTATGTCATGCTCAAGTAGACCCACTGAAATCATTGCTTCAAAATGATAGGATGGCATAGAACTTCTAGGGGCGCTGGGTTTTTTGGCCCCCACAATAAATTATTTGAGGGGGCCAATCCTCCACAAAGTTGATGTCCATTCCCATTCAAATATGATAGATTATGAAGGGTGGGGCTTACCTGGGCCCCCACAATATTGAATAAAGTGCTTGAATAAAGTCAGCACCCCTGGGAGACGGATGCCCAGTCCGCATCTTAGTCCTGCTTTACAATCTTCCCGCCACTTCACCTTTAAGCAAACGAACACAAAAAAAACAGAAACAATTTAAAGCAAGTTCCAGAAAAAAGTAGCTTTCAAGAGCAGGAATGTAGTTGAGGTGGGGGGCTTTCTGGGGTGGGGGAGTTGCTTTTTTTATTTCCGGGGGGTGGGGGTGAAAAGCGAGGCGAGGGCAAAGGCAATAAAGGAAACACGCTCGTCTCCTCAGCACCGTCTTCCACAGTAACCAGGCAGCAAGTCCCCTTCGACTCAGTGGGCCTCCAAGTCAACGGAGAGCTGCCCCTGGCTTTCCCTTTACGTTTTATCCAACTGGAAGGTTAGTCTGAGGCGCTGGGCTGACCGTTTCCCGGCTCGCGGCGAAGAAGCCGCGGACACCGCTCTCCTCCCAAACGCCTCACACGCGCCGACAAGCCCACAGCCCCCTCCTTCCCCGCGTCTCCCTCCGCTCCCGGCCTGTCCCTCGCCCGAGTCCCCGGGCCCCTCAGACCGACGGGCGTCCCGAAAGTGCCCCGCTCCGAGCAGCCGCCGGATCTAGGCCAGCGCGCCGTCGCCGCGCGGTGTGGGCGGCCTCCGCTTCCCCTCAGCGAAGGCGGGCGCCTGCGTGCAAGAGGCGAGGGGGCGGCGGTTGAACTCGGCTACCGGCGTAAGGCTTCGAGGAAGGTGGTTGCTGGGCCTCCTTCCTCTTTTCCCTCAGCCTGGCGGGCCGTGGGGGGAAGGCTTTTGAGGGAGAGAGGGAGGGACGCGGGCAAGGAGGGGAGGAGGCAGGCAGGCAGAGCCGCTTTCTCCAGCGCCCCTGCACCAACGGCAGCAGGTAAAAGCCGACGAAAGCCGCCCTCACATCCCCACCCCCTTCCCGCTCCCAAATGGCCGCCTCCTCGGCTGCAGCCACCCCAGGTCTTTCCTTCCGTCCTTCCTCCCCGCTTCCGTCCCCTCACGGCTTCCTCCTTTCCCGGCTGTCACTGAAGGGCAGCCTGCAGAAGGGGAGGAAGTGGCTCTTTTTGAGGCCTGCAACGTCAAAGGCCGCTCCTCTTCCACCCTCCTGCGCGCCCGTTTCTAGAAGCAGGTTGCGGGGAGGCGCTTCCTGGCGCCGCCGCTGCTGCTAGTTTGGTGGTTGCCGAGTTTCTCACCCTCAGCTGGTTTCCAAGAGGCGAGAGAGAGAGAGAGAGGACGGGAGCTGCTCATGTGGGCGTTGTTTTCACCACCCCCTCCTAATCTGCTCATAGGTGAAGCTAGTAGTACTTTTCCTTCCTTCCCTCCTCTTCTCCGACGCTCTTGTTTCTTTGCTCCTCCGGCTCAAGCTGCTCGGTTTTCCTTAGTTGCCTCTCCACAAAACTTCAGTTCTGGCGTTTTATGGTAGTTTCACTTTCATATCCCTCTTCTGGACAGTGGGATCCTATGCATGTCTTCTCAGGAGTCAGTTCTGTTGAGTTTGGTGGGCCTTGTGACCAGATAAGTTTTGTGTGTGTTTGAGTGTGTGTGTGTGTGTGACTGTGTATGTATATAGTCGTACCTCGGGTTACATACGCTTCAGGTTACAGACTCCGCTAACCCAGAAATAGTACCTCGGGTTAAGAATTTTGCTTCAGGATGAGAACAGAAATCGTGCTCCGGCGGCACAGCAGCAGCAGGAGGCCCCATTAGCTAAAGTGGTGCTTCAGGTTAAGAACAGTTTCAGGTTAAGAACGGACCTCCGGAACGAATTAAGTACTTAACCCGAGGTACCACTCTCTCTCTCTCTCTCTCTATATATATATATATATATACGCACACATACATGCCTTACAGATCAATCCTATACATGTCTACTCAGTCTTATTGAGTCCAGCACTGCTTATTTCTAGGCAGTTGGATACAGGATTGTGGCCTTAGGCAATAATGTTTTCCCGTTGCCAAATTCAGAAATGAAGTTTTGTGACATCTGCTTACTCATCGTTTCTGTTCCTGCTTTTTTCTTTTTTTAAACCAAACTAGAAGCTGCCTCCTAAGTACTGAGAACACCCCATCGTTTAGAGAACAGTTTGAGATTACATGAACTTTGTAGTTCCCCAATTTTCAGATTCTCTTTTTTAAGTGTGGTTTGATCTCTCTCTCGTATATTAAGAGTCTACATATGGGATAATAGCACAATCAGTCCACTTTGTAAAGTGGCTTAAGGTGTTTTGAATTGTGGAAGACTTCATTGAAAGACTTGGAGTTGTCATGCCCTGATTGTGGCCTGGTTCACAATCAAAGACACGGCACGCTGGTGCACATTTAGTATTAAACACGGTTAGTTACTATTGAGATGTTAATGATAATCTGCCGCATTCAGAAAACATGTTTCATTAACTGTTAGTGCAATCCTAAACTTGTTTGTGTGGAATTACACCCACTGTGTTTAAACTGGGTTACTCCCACCTGAGTCTGCATGGAATTGCAGCCTGGATGTAATAATTATGTGTCCCAGTCCAGAATAAGTTGGTCATGTTTAAGTCCTGTGGAAATTAATGTGGCATCAAGTTACTAATGACTAACTTATCCCACTGATTTCAATGGAACTCATTTTCTTTTAATAGAGACTGCCGTGTCTTGCTTGCAGGAAATTAAAGGTAAAGATACCCCTGACCGTTGGGTCCAGTCGCAGATGACTCTGGGGTTGTGGCGCTCATCTTGATCTGTAGGCCAAAGGAGCCGGCGATTGTCCGCAGACAGCTTTCGGGTCATGTGGCATCCTGACTAAGCCGCTTCTGGCAAACCAGAGCAGTGCACGGAAACGCCGTTTACCTTCCCGCCAGAGTGGTACCTATTTATCTACTTGCACTTTGACGTGCTTTTGAACTGCTAGGTGGGCAGGAGCTGGGACCGAACAACGGGAGCTCACCCCGTTGTGGGGATTCAAACCGCTGACCTTCTGATCGGCAAGCCCTAAGCTCAGTGGTTTAGACCACAGTGCCACCCGTGTCCCCTTGCAGTAAATTACTTCATCAATAAATTCAAAAAGTGCATCCAGTTAGTGTAATTGTACTTGAGGATGTTTTCCAAGCCACAGAATGACAGAAAACCCTTGTTTTGAGAGGCATGAATCCCTACCGCCACCCATTTATGTTAGATGAATTCTTCAAGAACACTTGAGTTAAACAATGAAAGAACTGGCATAGCCACATCCCCACAAACCATTTGTTTTCCTGCATTTTATCTGTCACAATGTGGATATCTGATAAGTGTGGCAGTCCAGTCAAGATTAAGGCACCTTACTAAACCTTCAAGGAGAACTAGGTGATGGATTTAATGTCATAGAGTTGTCTATGGTCCACCTTTTCCTCTTCATCACTGTCCATAGGGCATTGGAGACAGCTGGTTTTAACCTTTGATAATGATGCCCTTTTTGAACATAGGCAAAGAGGTGTTAAGTATCAGGAGCTGCATTTCCTGATTGGGAAGAGAACAGGGAGCATAAGAGTCCTAGCAGTTTTGGGGTTGCGGGAGCTGATTCTCATCCCATGAATAATTTGCATACTTGTCTTTTAAAACCTCTCTGGGATATTTACCCTAATATATATTGTGCATTGGCCCTCATTTGGTGCAGAGTGATAATGAATAAGGCAGTAACTAAAAACTAAGGAGATTTGGCCTTGTATGTCCTTTTGAAACAGAAGCTTTTTGATCAATTTGTAAGGAAATAATGTGTTCGGCATATTGAACAATACTTTAGAGACAAATTTCTCTTTTTATTTTTCATTTTTGAGGCTTCCTGTTTTTGGTTAGTAAGCAAATTGCCAGTCTTGCACATAATTGTCTGTATAGGGGTGTGTGTTCATGTGGCTGTGGCTGTGTACATGCACATGCACATTTAAATATTATGCAACACATAACATTTTCTGGTATAAAACCCACGATGTGGGGAAAGTATCAGCTTTGGTAAGTAAAATGTCTATTTTAATTTTCTGTCCAGGAAACTGTAACAGAAATGAAGGGGGGAAATGACAAGTATTTCAAGAAGCAGGCAAGCTGTGGCACCTTAAAGATCACTAACTTGTTTGTTGCATGAATTTAAAGCAGTGGGGGACAAGTGAACCTCCACATATTATTGGACTCCCAGCTCCAGCCAGCCTGGTCGATACAGAGATGATGGGACTCATAGTCCAACCACTCTGAATGTCCACAAGTTCTCTATCCCGGGGATAGAGCTTACTTTTCAGATGTAGTTTATCAAGTTAGGTCACTGAAACTGCCTACCCACAAATTTTCAAAAAGCAGTACACTGGCGTTTCTTGATCAGAATTTGTGATGAAACCATGCAAGAGCCTTCCTTTGGCGCTGGTGCCAAATGAAGTTATAGACTGCTCTTCAATACGAAGCATATGCCTGGAGAAAATACTTTAAATACAAAAGTTTCAAACCATAAGTGTGCATATTTGTATGTGTATGTGTGTGGAAGAGAGATTGCTTGTAGAGAGAGCCATTCTGCCTGCAGGCGGGGAAAGTTCTGAAAATATTGATGTCATTGTGTAAGAGATCAATGCTTTACTAACTTCTGTGTTTTGTTTCTGTGATATAACACTGTGCCACAGCGACAATATTGGGGAAACTTGTAAATCCTCCCACTCAATAGAGCTGTAAAATCTGATGTTGGCGCCTAGAATTTTGCTTCTTATAACATATATTTTTGTAAAACATAAAGGAAATAACAAACCCCTTCCATTCAACCTCTTCCGCCAGCAGTGGATAGGCATAGTATTTCTAAACTTGGAGATTCAAATTAGCAACAGGCCTGTGCAGAGGAGGGAGGCAGCTGGGTACACTTGCTCCAGGCCTCAGAGGGCAAAGTAGCCGCACACATCATGTATTTTGAGCAGTGTTCATGTACACACACAGTGTTACATAGTTTTTTGTGTGTGTGCATGTGCATGCATGTGTGTACACTTGTTTTGCACATATACATATATTTATAAAAAATGTGTGTATGAGGTATTCTGTTCTTTTCAATGAAACAGAGATTCAGATAGGTACAAAACAAAGAAAGAATGCCATATTTTAGTATCGCCATGATGTTCATAAATTAAATTTTCTTATTCTTGGTCCAGAGGAAAACTGAATTTGCCCATTTTTTAAATCTTATGCCCACCTTTTCAGAGTACCTATCAATTTGTTTGTCAGAGGCGATCTTCATTATTAGAATGCTACCTTCTATGTTGTATTGTTTTGTTTTCTTCATGATGCTTTGTCACTGTTAAATAAATTATTAATTAATCTGACAGAGGTCAGACACAATATGTGGGTTTTCACTGTGTGTCAAACTTGCTGCTGTTATGGATTCTTGTGTAAAATGGATAATAAAGTGCTACTAAATTTAAGTGGAATAATGCATTACCTGCTGTATGCTTGCTGAGTAAGCACTTATTTCATGAAGTCAAACATTGCAGTTGTGTGTTTCAGGCTGTTTAATACTCGTTCTAGGAAAGAAAATCGGTGTGTTTTCATAGTCTTGGATACATGAATGGCATGGCTGCTGACTTCAGCAATGGAAAGCTTCCATTTAAATAGGACTCTGAATTAACAAATCACTGTCATTACAATCAATATAAATTTACTGGGTAGGAGAGACAGTATACAGTATTGTGTAACATGATGAGTATGTCATGGCGCTTTCTTGGTGTCAAGCCTCTAATATGATAACATGTTTTTAGGGTTTGCCCATTACTTGCTTGATTGAAGGTTTATTGTCTGGAATACGGCAGGTTTTAAAGTTACTGTATTTCAGATACTATACTTAATTTTTAATAGATGGTGTTTATATTCCTCTTTGGGCTGAGTTGTATGTTACAGTGGTCCCTTAGAATCTTCTGAACATTCTTCCACAATCATAGTGACTCCACATGGCAGTTGTAACATAATATTACAGAGGCTGTCCAGTGCTATTTAGCCCACACTACACGTCGAAGTGCAAGTAGAGAAATAGGTACCACTCCGGCAGGAAGGTAAACGGCGTTTCCGTGTGCTGCTCTGGTTCGCCAGAAGCGGCTTAGTCAGGATGCCACATGACCCGGAAGCTGTCTGCAGACAAACACTGGCTCCCTCGGCCTATAGAGCGAGATGAGTGCTGCAACCCCAGAGTCGTCCGTGACTGGACCTTACGGTCAGAGGTACCTTTACCTTTTTTCGCATTCATAATGGCAGCTGGGACTAGCGTAGGGCTGACTCCATGTGACTCAGGCAATCCACACAGTGAGCTGCTTTTGACATG